GACGCACCACAATCTGATATATACAAGAAAAAAACACATCTTATGATCATCTTACTTCAAAATGTGGAGCTCGAATGGGATAAAACGGGTACGAAATTAGAATATTCCATATATTCTAGAAGCTTCCACTAAAATTGACATCGCAACGGAGGACGTGTAAGAAGATTCATATTAAATGAGTCGTTGTGATTACCCAATCATAAGGATTTTTTTATAATTTGACCTTACTTCAGGGCTAGCCGTAATATACCCCATATATATCTTAGGAAATGGAACAAGCATTGGGATTTTCATCACTAAACATTTGAGGTGCATATACATAATGTATGAAGTATGGAACTTCAGCTCTGACCTCAACTTCCTTAACAACTTCCTTAAACTCCACAACTTTTTCCCCTGCAGATTTCACCTCATCAACTACTTTCTCTCTCTTCTCTTCTTTCTTCTCCAATTCTTTCTTCTCCAATTCTTTCTTTTTTTCTTGCACATTAATTATTTCACCATATTTGTGAACCCTTTCTCGCATATACGCCACTAGTTTTTCCGACTCGATCACTCCTTCAACCGTTATCGTTTGCAATTTTATATCCGTTTTCACATTGTGTATACCTGCAATTTTTTTTATTAATTATATAAAATATGTAATTTTGACATGTACAAAACTTTGCTATTAGGGCATATTTTTTTAAGTATTCATATATATTTTTTTTAATTGTTAATATTGTATATAATTATTTATTTAATTAACCTCTGTGCAACAGCAGCCTCCGACACGCCTCCTTTTCGCATTGATCACAATGCAAGTAAGCCTTGATAGTAATTGTTCTTATTTTTTCCTTCAAATTTATTAAGAACAAATTATTGGTATAATTATTAATTTGAGTGAAGAAAAATTAATAAAAATAATGGTAATTAGTAACTGATTTTTACTTAAATTACCTTTTTAACTTCTTCATTGGACTTGGTCTCAGAAATTAACTCAACTTTTTTATTACTCCATTTCTGCAATCTCGCATGAATTTTCTTGGCATCAATGGCACCTTTTACTGTGATCTCACCCTTTTCAAATTTGGCATCAACCCTATGAATTCCTGCACACACATGCATGAGTGTAATTAATTGGTATTTTTCTTGATTTAATTATTTTTATTTTAAGATACCTTAATTCAGACAAGATTATTTTATTATTATTATATTTTTTTTTATATAAGAAGAAAAGAAATAATTAATTAAATTAAATTACACTGACCTGGGATTCTCAAGAGAGGTTTTTGAATGTCGTGTGCACATTTTGGGCAGTGCAGATATGTTTTGTAAACTGCTGTAATGAATTCAACTTTATTTTCTTCTTTTGCCATATTATATTATTAATGTAGTTATATATATTTTTGCTGCAAGATTGATTTTTTTGTATATATATATAGAGAATCAGAACTTTGGATTGTCCTATGCAATTACTTAACTTGTTCTAATTATTAATTAACTTAATTTTGGTGGGTTTGATGCAAAGTGGTTCAACAGCTTGTGGAATCTTGAATTCCAAGAGATTTAATTGTTTGCATAATTAGGTTGTAATTGGTCAATTATTCAATTCCGAAATTCGCTGTCGTTCGACTAATTAGTTTCGTGTGTGTTAAACTTCAATATTTGTCCACTTTCGGCTTACTAATTTGAGTATCGATGGGGGAAGTTTTAGCGAATGGGCCAAATCTTGTGGTCCGATCGGGAAGGCCCATCTTGAGCGTATGGCCCAAGAAGAAATAGCGAGAATGGTGGAGGTCAATTTGGTAAAAAGTTTAATTTCGGAGGTCGAGTTGGATCGTTATAGGAGCCGGCCGAACCTGTTCGAAGGCTCATCTCGGATGATAACCCTAGGAGAGGAGTTCGATAGCGATTACACGAAGTAGAGTTCTTGGCTTGGAAGGCACGTCACTTGAAGAGTTCGAATCTTGTGAGTCCAATTTCGTAGAAATAACCCATTGAAGAGGAATTTCGAGTAAAAAGAATTTCGTAGCTTAAGGAAACGATATTTCATAATTAAGGAAAATGGGAGACCTACTAACAAGGGAACTCGTGAAAACCTAACCCTATGTATATATGCTCGATAGAGAGGAGAAGGGCTTTCAGAAAACACATACGATAAATATAGTTATACGTTTCTCTTAGCAACTGTCTCAAACAAACCCTAGTGATGTCGCCGGAAACCTCTTCTCTGAAGATTTCCTCCGGATGTCAAAACATGACAGTAGTTGATGGAAACTTGACTGCGCGTAGTTACTCGCGCGATCAAGTATGATTTTTGTTTTCTAACAATTCGTCATTTGTGTAAATATGGATTGAGTCATAGTTAACGAGCCGTTCTATAAGAACTCTGCAAGTTACAAATCGAAGACCAAATATGTATGAAATTTATCTACACGGACGCTTAAAAATTACATATGCTCCTCTAACTTTTCGAGTTTTGAGCCTAGGCGACTACCTACTTTACATGCTTGTAGAACCAGCTTTACTTATTATCTTACTTATTAAAAACACTCTCTTCCACACTTGCATGTGGTATATATATTAATTAATTAATTAATCTTGACAAAAAAAACAACTAATCTTGTGTATAGTTTATCTTAGATGAGAAAGAGGGAATCAATTTAGCATATAAATTAGGTAAAGACAACTTACATTATTACCTCACAACAAGTTGCAATATAATAACTAAATTAATTACTAATTTCTCAACTCATCAAGAACTTTCACAAAAATTAAAATTTTAAAAATTAAAAACTAGAATTAAATTATAGGATCAATTTAATTTATCCCAAATCACAAGTCGGAAAAAGCATG